GAATACACCATTTGCTTCAAATACACATTAAAATCACCTTTCGCGACGACGTATAATAACGATAATCTTTTAAACTTTAAAACATCTCCACATTAACGATAACATTTCAGACTCCTTATATCTTGCTCATTGCAAAAACAATAAATTTATGGTTCACGCATGACTTGGATATTTCAATGAATAACTAAGTGAATGAATGAACACATAATGAAACTGTGATAAAAAGTCGACCTAGCATGTAAATGACTGTTCGGTCGTTGAACACGGCAACAAACTACTACTGCATTCTGATGAGAACGCCGCCACTCAGATGGACTTGAACTTGACAAGTTGTTTTTATTGAATGGCACAGAAGTGTTTGCTGATCACCTCTCTCATCAGTTTTTAATAGAAATGAAATGATCAGCTCTAAGGCAAGTTTGAATATATATGTAAATGATAGATGAATATTTTTTTGTATCAATTATTAAAAAATTTTTTGTTATGTTGCTGAAAGCAGTTGCTAGCTTTGTAGCTTTCATGGAGTTGTTTCTTTTATTCGGATTTTCATGGTCTACTTTAATGAGAGGTTTACAATCTCTGAATATGCAGTTCATTTTATAGAATCTCTAAGAAAATCAAATTTTTAGCGGTTTTCACAAGGTATCGAAAGAAATTCAGATCACTCGGATTTTAGAGGCTTCAGCTGAAAGAAAGACGTTTTTATAGCTCTATGATTTAGTGATTGATTGCTTCATTGCTTGAGACTGATTAATTTGATTAGCTTGATCAATGATTACTATTATATGATCGATAATGATCATATGATAGTATCGATATTGCTAGTGATAGTTATGATAATGATTGAAAGATCAATGATAATGATAATGATCACATTAATCGTGATAAGGAAGATGATGAATGGAAATGTTCAGATACGTTCGCTGTTAGCACATCTTGGTCTGGTGCTATGCTCAATCTTGTACATTTGCATGGGTGCGTTTGTGTTTCATCGCATTGAACGACCCAACGAAATCGCTCAGATCCAATTCATTCGCACACGATATGCAACGCTCAAGATGGTATATTCTTCTAAACTTTCTTTGAAATTCTCTCGGGAAACTGCCATCCAATTCAGGTTGGAAACCTCCAAAAAGAACCCGTACAATAAGAAAACATCATATCATACACAATGTTCAATGTTTGCTCATAATCTTGTTCCGTCAATCACATGCAGATGAATTCATGAATCTAAAATATTGATCTAAACTGATATAAACTTTAAACTTACTTAACAGTTCATTTTTCAAGAATAGATGCATAAATTTGTATGCGATATTGTACGATCAGATCAGATCAAACTCGAAATCCGTTCAGTTTTAGTCGCGATGATTTTAACGGCTAATCCAAAAGGTTTTCAAAAATGATAACAGTACTGATAATAAGAAGTATACCAATGACCACTAGCAGTAGAAACAATAACACCATAGGAATAAGATTAGCAAGTAGAAGAAAGCAGCATTGAGAGCTTAGTTATTAAATTAATAGTAATGAGAATAATGTCAATGACATGAAGAGTGACATTAGCAAATTATATGAGAACGATTCGAGTAATAGAAATGTCATATTGTTGCTTGCTTATATTTTGATGCGGTAATTGGTTCACTGAAGAAAAGAGAGCAAAATTTGAGCGGAACATTTAGGATTAAGGACATTCCTATCACGAGATAAGATTCATGCTGTCGGTTAATGCTCGAAAGCTCACATTCATTTGTTGGTATAAGTGTGGAGAATTTCACGCTGAATTTAAAACATTCGACTCAGCGAAGTGGAAAAAATTGAACGAATGTAATTCATTTCAAATGTTGCACCGAATAAGCTGGAAAATTTAACTTATTCAAATGTTAAATTCACATTTCCGAATGAATGATAATCATAATTCAAAAAATTGATCCGAACAAGGCCAGTTTGATCGTGAATAATTCCAGGAATTCATTGCGAAATGTGCGCTGGAAAATTTGACTCGATTCGATATCGGGTACTTGTTGGACGAATACATCGGTAGTATGTTCGAGTTTTTTGGTGATCCTCAGGTGAGCGACTAAAAACTTTCGGGAAAATTTTGAATTGAAGATTTTAGGTGCCAGCAATTTCCATTCTTGATGTTTTTTTTCTTGCAACTTCCTCAAAAGTAAGGCTTTCGAATCGTAAGCATTTCTGCCGTTAGTTCATGCAAGCAACCTATCTATCATGGAAAGCTGCATCAAAATGCTTGCTTTGTTCCGATCTTACATCTTACGTCTCAATGTCAAATGTTTGAGGCCGCAGTTGTGTTTGAAGCGGATTTCATGGATTACGCTACTGATTTGGATCAATGGACTCCGGCGACATCATTTCTATTCGCTACAACAATAGTGATACCAGTTGGTTAGAGATAAATTTACAATCCTTCCAAATCGCACACAAACATTTTTGCCCATCTTCGGATGATAACACTTTTCGGTAGAAAATTCCGATTCGGAACGTTTCGAAACATCAATTANGAATTCAAGAAAGAGAGCAATTTAATGAAATAACACTTAATTCTTAAGGTTATGGTTTCGTAACGCCAACAACGAAAATTGGTCGTTTGCTGATCATTTTATACGGTATTATTGGTGCACCGTTAATATTGATAGCTGTAAGCGATGTCGGAAAATTCATCAGTTACTATTCAACAAAATTACTTCCGAACGTTAGTGCTTTTCTATTCCGGCTGAGGAATTTTTGATGGCTCCAAAATGTCGAAAATGTTTTGAAAACTCAACTTCGACTTGATTTTACATTTTTCCTCATCAATCAAACTCCCCAGACTGATGTTGTG